GAAAACAGGAAACTGTAGGCAACTCTGGGATAGACAGAAGTGGGGTACCAGAAGACGGAAGTTTACTATTGAGTGCAGGTGACAGTCTTGACAGGTGCAACTGTAAATGGATTGAATCCTTATTTTACCACCGACATGGGCAATGTGAAGCCTACTTATCTCAGCAGAATTGAAGTTGAGAGGGCCCACCCTAGAAAAATGGTGAAGCTCCTGAGTTTTTCCATGTGTAACATCAGACTCTTTACACGTTCTGTCCCCGTCAGGAGATGCCCCTGCCTTCACGGTGAGCCAGGGCTGGCAGGCCGACTGAACGGGCTTCTGAACACAAGGCTGGGATAGGGAGTTCTTCGAGATGGATTGTAAGATTGCCAAGGAGGCAAAGCTACTGGAGTGTCTCTGGTGTTGAGTATAGTCAGGAGTGCAGGAGACTTATCTAAGGCTCATCAGTGGTTAATGCGTGCCCCACCCCCTCCCTGGGGAAGGAGGGCTCTGTAGGGGAATTTGCCAGATGGAGAGTATTGTATTTTTCAGGTTTTAACAGCTGTGGGTACTCCTGGGAAGTCAGAGCCCTGAGCACCCATCACCCTGGTGTCCCAGTCTGGGAGGCAAGCTTTCTGCCATCAGTTGATTTGTTCCTAAAAGGGAGCAAGGCACCAGGGGAATTTATCTCCTCTCTCTTTCCAGTAAGCCTTTTGTGAACTTGGGGGTCCAGGAGTCTGCAGAAATAATTCAGAAGGGTCAGTGTCCTCATCAGATCTATCATAAATTAGAAAAGATGTGCTTTTTATATGCATTATCTCTCATCTTCTCAAAACCTCTATCATGTATTACTATCCCCATTTTATTGAATAAGAAACTGAGCTCAAAAGATTTAAAAACTTACCCACCAATAGCCTGTAAGTGGGAGGGAAGTTTGGGATTCAAACTCCTGTCTGTCTTACTCTACGGTTATGCTCTTTCCGACAACCTGATGTACTCGTGAGCTAGAGAATAAGAAGGGTTCAGCATGACTATATATACCTCTCCACCCCTGGCTTCCTCAGTTCTGTTGGTAACTAATTGCTGTTTTTTTCTCTTCTAAGTTAGAGGCATCTGGTTGCTGTAGTGTTGTGCTGAAGTGTAACTAGGCTTCTAAAACCAGTGGAAAGTCTTGGAGGCTTATTACTAGGAGCTGCCAAAATAGGGCGAGTGGTATTTCAAAGTCACGAGCTTTTCAGTCATAGCTCTAGGGTGCCTGCGTGGTTCAGTAGGTTAGCATCAACTCTTGATTTCGGCTCAGGTCATGATCTCACAGGTTCATGGGATCGAGCCCCACGTTAGGCTCTGGCTGACAGTGTGGAACCTGCTTGGGTATCTCTCTCTCCTTCTCTTTCTCTGCCCTTCCCCCTGGTTGCACATGGAGTGCTCTCTCTCAAAAAAAAAAAAAAAAAAAAAAATCATAGCCCCAACCACAGATCCAATGAGTACTGTGCTAGAATATAGATTTTTTTTGACTCAAAAAGGTCACCATTTTCCACCTTCTTCTTCCTCTTATTTCTAGCCCAAGGCTTTGAAAATTTTAGGGAATGTCATGATTCTGCTGCTGTCCCTTGAGCCAGCAGCTCAGATAGGCTGAGAGACTGTGGGTGGAATAGTAGGCTCCATGAGAACAGGGACTAACTATATTCATTCAGTGCTTTCTTTTTTGCATAATGCCTGGCACAAGTGAGTGAATGCAATAATCAGTACCTTGAATGAATGAATAGTTGCAAGTTAAAACATTTTAGAAGTCAAAAAGGTAGAAACTCCTAAAAAGTAAATCAAATTCGTAACACTTGAAACCAGTTAAAGTCGGGCCATATTGGCCCTTAGAAGAAGCATGTTCCAAACTTTTTAAAAGTAGTGTCAAATATCCATGAGTAAAGTGATGATGTGTGAGAGTGGTTCAGAGCATTTAGTGCCTTGTGATGATTTAAATTGTTTTTAAAGGTTCCTGGGAAGTCGGAGAAGGTTGACTCAAGGGCAGGTGGAGTATATTTATTTAGGCTATTGAAATTATCTCAACTTTTAGAGACAGTGATTTTGTAGTCTGTCCCTGTTGAAGCCTCTTAGTGAACAGCAGGGTAGAGGGACTGTGGATAGAGGGACTAGGAGGGGGCGCCCAGGTGGCTCAGTTGGTTAACTTTCCGACTCTTGATTTCGGCTCAGGTCATGATGTCACAGTTCGTGGGATCAAGTCCCACATAAGGCTTTTAGCACAGAGCCTGCTTGGGATTCTCTCCCTCTTTCTGTCTGTCTGTCTTTCTCTCTCTCTGCTCTTCCTCTGCTCATGAGCTCCCTCTCATGCTCTTTCTTTCAAAAATAAACAAACATTTAAAAAATAAATAGGTTAAGCACTCAACTCCTGATTTCAGCCCAGGGCATGATCTTGCAGTTAGTGAATTCAAGGCCCAAGTCAGGCTTTGCTCTCCCTTTATCTCTGCCCCCTCCCCTGCTCTCTCTGTCTCAAAAATAAACAAACTTCAATTAATAATAAATAAATAGATAGATAGACAGCCTTTTAAAAAAGGGACTGGGAAGCACTTCACCTGCCAAATGAGCTGGAAAAGGCAGGTGTGATGATAAAGTCATTGCCACCAAGGAGCTGGCATTCAGCTGGCTATCTTCCTCTCCTCTACCACGTAAGAAACATTGTCCTCATCTTTCCTTAGAATTGGCTCATTCCATCTATTTCCAGAACTCAAATAGTTGGGAGTTGAGAAATAGCTTGTCTTCTGCTTAGACAGATGGGAGGGCAGTGAGGGAGAAGGCCATATATTATTCTGATTGCTAGTAGAAAGTACTTCCTGCATAACCTGCTTGTAATGCTGCTGTAGGTGTGATTCTTTCATTTTACTGGGCTTGAATTCTGCACCCTTCTCTCAATCCTGTGAGTTTCTACTTCTGTTGCCTTCTGACTTCTTATTGTAGCATAACCTCATAAAAAAATCCAAGTCCACCACTAGATGGTAGATGACTTGTCTCTTTCTACGGAAAAACCCTCCAAATGACTGATAACTTGAAACTGCATAGAAACAAAGCATACCTCACTCTTTTATAATTCCTGAGTGCAGAATAATAGGAAATAAGAATGTTAAAATGAAAATGCAGGAGGTATGCTGCGAGCAAGTAGCACAACTAGAGGAGTAGAAGGTGACTGTTCATAAGACCTTCTCTTTCCGATACCCCAGATCTCGATGAGATTTGGGTGGGCTTCTTTTACTCTAGCATTTCATATAATAAAGTCCCTTGGGAAGTGCATATGTAGTTCAGATTTCACTGCCCAGAAAATCTGTAAGACGTAGGCTTATATTTTTTGGACTTATAGGGAGCCAATCTAGTTCCTTATGGTCATGATCAGCAGAGCTGTAAGCACCTGATGTAAATTGTGGCGCCAGTATTTAAATATTCAGTCTTTACTCTGTCAATAGACATGAGTGAACATGAGCCTGAGTTTTTAAAGGTTCTGCAGTTGAGACCTTGCTTAAATCTCATAACTTCATTGTGATGGCCACCACATCACCAACACCTCCCAGTGAGTATTTATAAAGTTAAAAGGTATCTGGAATATATACCACATGGCAGGTTTCCAGAGCTGAGGGGTCCCTAATTACAGTCTATATTCTGATTAGTCTTATTCCTAACCTAGCTTTTACCCTCATATTATAAATTTAACATGTGATCAAAAGGAAATAAACAGATGTAAACAAATTTGTATGTAAACATATCACAGCTTGTTTACATGGACTGTTGGGAAGAATTTCTCTGTAATCTAAAAGGGTACGAATAGTTGTTTTCTGAAAACAGCTGGTTAGTTTTTATGTGAAATCTTAGAACTATTTGTGTTTTCCTTTGTGTTTTGGCTGCTAGAAGACTGAGAATCAAATTTGTCGGGGGGGCCTAGGTGGCTCAGTTGGTTAAACATCCTACTCTTGATTTCGGCACAGGTCATAATCTCACAGGTCATGAGACTTGAGCCCTGTGTCAGGCTCTATGCTATGATCACAGAGCCTGCTTAGAATTCTCTCTCTCCCTTTCTTTCTACCCCTTCCCTGTTCGCTCGTTCTCTCTCTCTCTCTTAAATATATATTTTTTAAATTTTTTTTAAAAAAAATAATCAAATTTGTGGTCTGTCTCTAGCAAGCATGCAGGTAAGCGTGGATACACACACACACATATATACCTGTACATACAATAGCATGGAAGAAGAACCTTATTGCTTGATTCCTCATTATCCTTTGGTCTTGAAAAGTAATGTAGATTTCCACTAGAGATTTTTTTTCAAAGGGGCATTCTGAATGTTTTACCCAGCATATGCCATTATACGTTTCCCGAAATCATCTAAAATAGCTGCTCAGGTGTTTCAGTTGCCCTTATTCAGCTGGGGTTTTCTTACCTCTTGCTGCTTCTCTTCTTTTCTTTTCTTTTTTTTAATTTTTTTAAAATTTATTTCTGAGAGAGAGAGACTGTGTGAGCAGGGGAGGGTCAGAGAGAGAGGGAGATACAGAATCTGAAACAGGCTCCAGGCTCTGAGCTGGCTGTCAGCACGGAGCCTGACGTGATGCTTGAACCCACGAACCATGAGATCATGGCCTGAGCGGAAGTCGGACACTTAACAGACTGAGCCACCCAGGCACTCTCTGTTGTGTCTCTTCTGCTTCATCTTTCTGTGCAAGCTCAGGTTTTGGCCTCCTCCTAACCTATACAATCCCTGAACTGTATAGCCCCTGGGCATAGAACTATTTTCCTCTCAATGACTGCTTTTCTTGAGAAAATGTTAATGACTAAAATTCTCTGCCTCATCAAGTAAGAAAAAGAATATTCCTATCTTTTCCAACTCCATAAGAGAAAAGGAAATACTGTAGATTTTGACTTAGAACTTAAAGAAGTCTCCTGGGTTGATGCTTGGGGTTCATTTCTTTCAGGTTTGTTTGATGATTTGAGTTTAATATTCTTAAAATTTGTCCTTTTTTTTTTTTTAGGTGAATGTTGGATGTGTACCCAAAAAGGTAAAATTTTTATTTCTTCTTCCTTCCACACTCCTTTTACATATTTGATAAAGCAGTGCATTGATTTATTAGTTTTGAGTGAGTGAGATTGCATCTAGGTCTAGTAATTAGGACTGGTCATCTGCACAGAATTACTTTTTCTTAATCTAAATTACTGAATGGAATCTTCTAAAGTATTCTCATTCAATTCTGTAGCCTAATGGACTTTCTTAACAACTGTGGTGATATTTGTTCCTGGCATCTGTGGTGCAGGTTACATTGAATGAACTTGTCCTTTACCTCTGACAAAGAGGAGGAAATGGCAGCTCTTATTTCCAAAGGTGCATCTTGTTTATACTTGCAAGTAATTTTACTCCACATTTGAATATACTTTCAAAACATGTTATAATCCCCAGATGACAACCTTTTGTTACTGAGATTACATTCTAAACTGACATGTTTTCGGTAAGAGGTAAGCAAATACTCCTAATCTCATCAGTGACACATAACAAAAAATAATTCCAGGAGAGTTTTTTATAATCTGTTCCATTGTGTGGTTAGGTGTTTTTTAATCATAGGAAAGTTTCTTTTTTACTGTGGGACACTTCCTCAGTTATTTGGAATCTGTTCTAATTGAAGTCATATAGTTGTGATATATGAATCATGTAAATCAGTTAAAAGGTGGTTTTATATAGTTTAATCCAGTTATGGTAGTAAATCCATTGATAGGCGCTACCTCATTATTTAAAAATATTACCTGGGCATAGTCACCTGAATTTGTAATATTTTGTTCCCATATATTAAAAATATTTTGAGAGAAAGAGAGAGAGACAGTGCAGGTGGGGGAGAGGCAGAAGAGTGGGAGACCCAGAATCCGAAGCAGGCTCCAGGCTCTGAGCTGTCAGCACAGACACCAACGCAGGGCTCATAAACCATGAGGTCATGACCTGAGCCAAAGTTGGATGCTTAACTGACTGAGCCACCCAGGCCCCTCTGCTGCCATATATTATGTTTCCTTTATTCCTTCTATTCTGACCATTTACTGATCAGAATATAAGGAAACACAAGGACTTTTACCTTATATTTTCAAAGGGCTCTGACTTCAAAGTGCTTTTGCATTCTTGAAGATCAGTTGGTAATTACCTCCTGTTTTCTAGAACAGATTGAAGCCTGGAGTAACTTCCCTCCAGGAGGGTAGAGTGAGGTAGCAGCAGAGAAGGAATCAGATGGGTGGGCCTGCTACCACCCTCATTTAGATGAGCCTAGAAGCCCAATGTAGTTCATATACAGCACCTTCTCCGGAGGGCATTTGAAGCTATAGCATCATACATAATACAAGTTGGAAGAAAATAAATATGGCCCCTCATGAGGAGATGAGATGAGGTATGGTGATGTTTCTTTTCTTTCTTTTTTTTTTTTAATTTTTTGTTTAAAGTTTTTTTTTTGAGAGAGAGCAGGGGTGGGTCAGAGAGCTAGGGAGCAAAGGATTGGAAGTGGGCTACGAGCTTATAGGAGAGAACTTGATGCAGAGCTTGAACTCAAACTGTGAGATTATGACCTGAGCTGAAGTCAGACACCCAATGGACTGAGCCTCCTGGTGCCTTTATAATGATGTTTTTAAAATTTTTTCAATTAAAAATTTTTAAATTTTATTAAACATTTTTTAATGTTTTATTTATTTCTGAGAGAGAGAGAGAGAAGACCGCGTGAGCAGGGGAGGGTTAGAGAGAGGGAGACACAGAATCCAAAGCAGGCTCCAGGCTCTGAGCTAGCAGTCAGCACAAAACCCAACACGGGGCTCGGACCCACGAACCATGAGATCATGAATGACCTGAGCCGAAGTCGGACCCTCAGCCAACTGAGCCACTCAGGCGCCCCAATGGTTTTTTAAAATAACCTGTTTTATTTTGTAATACTGAGAAACCTTTCATATGTATCAAGATAAACAATCTAGCAGATAAAATGGTTAATACTATATTATATGAGTTTCACATCAATTAAAAAAATGAACAGAGTGCCTGGGTGGCTTGGAGGGTAAGCATCCAACTCTTGCTTTCGACTCATGTCATGATCTCATGGTTCGTGAGTTTGAGCTCCACATAGGGCTGTGTGCTAATAGCCTGGAGCCTGCTTGGGATTCTGTCTCCATCTCTCTCTGCCACTCCCCCACATGCTCTCTATCTCTGTCTCAGGATAAATAAAAATAAACTTCAAAAAAAAAACCCAAAACCCCAGAATCCAGCAAGGCCATCAGTTCTTCATTTTTAGACATAAAGAGAGAATGGTACAAAGAAGGAATGAAATCAAAGGCTTGTCAAAAATGGAGTATCAGGCTTGTCTGACAAAGAAAACTGATAGTTTGTCATCTAGAGTTCTGGATGCTCTCGAATTCTGTTTGTTATCTTGATGATGAGTTGACATAAAAGGCCTTTACAGATTTCAGGCTGCATTCCACAGAAATGTGCAACAAATCTTTGAGTTCCAGATGTCTAATTACACACGTCATTACAAGGACATATTCATAGGTACTGAGTATATAATAGGGATTTATTCCCTTAAGGTTTTCAGGCCTCGTCTTTATCTCATAGCCTCTTCTAAATCACTTTACTGTAAAGCTACAGATGCAATTGAGTTTCCTAGAACTAATTACAAAATATAGGGTTTCAGGAAATCTGAGACTTAAAAAGAGTCTGTAAGCAGTAATAAATGTTACCGGAATGCTTATAAACGCTTATAACATTCTGCTGTTACAGAGTTTATAAGATAGGGAGTGTAATAGAAGTAATATCCCCCAATATTTCAGCAGCCTCCCTACAAAATCTGTCTGCTCATATTTCTGAACTTTCCTTTTTAATATGTTCAGTTTTGGTTTTACTTTAAAGTTCAGTATTTTGAGGGGCGCCTGGGTGGCTCAGTCGGTTAAGTGTCTGACTTAGGCTCAGGTCATGATCTTGTAGTTTGTGGGTTCGAGCCCCACATCAGGTTCTGTGCTGGCAGCTCAGAGCCTGGAGCCTGTTTCAGATTCTGTGTCTCCCTCTCTCTCTGCCCCTCCCCCTCTTATGCTCTGTCTCTCTGTCTCAAAAATAAATAAAAACTATTAAAAAAATTTTAAAGTTCAGTATTTTTATCTGCTTTTATGTGGTTACTTTTCATGCATAGTTTCTTTTTTTTCCTCAGGACTCATGCACTACTGTTGTCACTATAGTTTTTTTTTTTTTTTTTTTTTTTTACAGGTAATGTGGAACACAGCTGTCCACTCTGAATTCATGCACGATCATGTTGATTACGGCTTTCAAAGTTGTGAGAGTAAATTCAATTGGCGGTAAGTGTTAATGCTTAGAGGGTTCTGTTTACAAATACTAATTTTTTCTTTCATAATTAAATGAGCTATAAACTTTTTTGGAAGGGTGTTCCTGTGGTAAAATATATATAACATAAGCTGCTGGAGGTGATGGATATATTTGTGGCCTTGATTGTGATGATGGTTTTAGAGGTATATACTTATCTCTAAACTTACCAAGTTATATACAGTAAATATGTACTGTTTATTGTATGTCAGTCATACTTCAATAAAATGGTTTCAAATGCACGCACAAAGTCCACCTTAGCTATTTTTAAGTTGTCAATACAAGGCCATTAAGTATATTCGTAGTGATGTGTGACTATCACCACCATCCATTTTGAGAACTTTTCTACCATCCACAACAAAAACAATGTGTTCATTAAACAATAACTCCTCAGCTCCTCTCCCCCCAGCCCCTGGTAGCACTCTTGTACTTTCTGTCTCCATGAATTTGCCTGTTTTAGGTACTTTGTATGATGTTTGTCCTTTTATGCCTGGCTTATTTCATTTAGCATGTTTTCAGAACTCATCCATGTTGTGACATGTGTTAGAATTTCATTCCTTTTTAAGGCTATTCCCTTGTGTTCATACCACATTTTGTTTATTCAGTTCATCCCTCAGTGGACTTTTAGGTTGTTTTCACCTTTTGTCTACTGTGAATAATGCTGCTATGAACATTGATCTACAAGTCCCTGGTTTCAGTTCTTTTGGGTCTGTACCTAGAAGTGAAATTGCTGGGTCAAATGGCAGTTTTATGTTTAACTTTTTAAGGAACTGCCATAAACTTGTAGAAGCCATTAAATTTTCAAAATTTTAGCAAATTCATTCATTTACTCAACAAATATTTATTGAGTGGCCACCACGTACTTAGGCACTGTGCCAAAGCAGCTGTCCTTCTCTTCTTTGCAGGAAGATATTTACATATTGTGGGTGTCTACCGAACATTCTCCTTGGAGGAGAATAAGGGTTCTCTGCATGTGGCAGAGGGAAGGGGCGACGGCCTCCAGAGCTACTCACTCAAGGAGTTCTTACTGACTCTTCTCTGTGTATGTGATCCTCTGCTGATAGGGGTATCCAGGGACAGATGCCCTACTCACTGACTGAAAGAAGAGAATCTTGTCTCTCAGTTCTGATTTAAGTTTCATTACAGTGTTATAAAGGAAAAACGTGATGCCTATGTGAGCCGCCTGAATACCATCTATCAAAATAACCTGACCAAGGTGAGCGTGCTGGGGACTCTGATGAGGGGGCCATTCTGTGTTGGAGTATGCTACCAATCTGACCAGACAAAAACATAGCCTTTGCACATGCAGGTCTCTTGTTTCTTTTATCTCTTTTGCAATTAATGACTTCAAGGTTGACCTGCCAGAACAAAAGTGTCTGTCTCAGTAAGCCAGTCTTTCTTCTTCTTCTTCTTTTTTTAAGTTTATTTATTTTGAGAGAGACCGAGCGTGAGTGGAGGAGGGGCAGAGAAGGAGAGAGGGAGGGAGACAGAAAATCCTAGGCAGGCTCCTTGCAGCCGGCGCATCAAGCAACACAGGGCTTCAACCCATGAAACCATGAGATCATGACCTGAGCTAAAATCAAGAGTCAGACACTTAACTGACTGAGGAACCCAGGTGCCCCTGGCCAGTCTTTTTTCTACAGAGTGGGCAGCGCATGCCATGACTGGTAGACAGGTGTCACCTCAGGGCTGCGCCTTGAGTAGGTCTGGCCCTCCTGTGAGTTCCAGAAACCAAAAACACAGGAGACTGATGTACACAACAATATGCCAGTTTATTCATTAAAATCAGAAGTACTGTCTGGCTGGAAAGCTCTCATTGTTCGTTTGTTCACAGCAACCTCGTCCTTGGTGGCTAGATCTGCTCAAGAGACCAAATTATGGTTCAGAAGGTTGTTTCTGTGAATGAAGTCTGATTACTTTGCCCAAGAACACTAGGCAAAGCTGTGTTTGCTTTTAGCAAACCTACATGGTCCTTCGTTAGTCTGAGGCTTTTTCTGCTTTAGTGCTTAAGTGTCGCACTTCTTCCACTAAGATAAACAATGCACCCTCCAGCTGTGCTTTTCCTTGACAGCATATTTCCCATCACCCTTCATTTCCTTTTGTGGTTTCACTTTGCAGTTTCTAAGATTTCTGCATAGCTTAGATTATATTTAGATCTGTAGTTTCTTGGTGATATTTGGGCCACCATAATCCCATGGCAGCATGGTTATAAACCAGTTTTTAGGATGAGTTACTTCTCTAGGTGGCTAACCTCATATCTTTTTGTGTTGATTCTTATTCATCAGGTTTATTTTTTGGAGAGTGATATTTTCTGACCTTAATCCCCAGTTTAAGGGGGAGATATTCAGGGCCTTCAGTGCCCTATACACTGATGACAAGAGACTTTAAGGCTGTTAGACATGAATGTAGAGGTACCACTTGCTATACTAAAACACCCACATCAATTTTTTTTTTACATTATTGACTTTATTTTCTTTATAGCACTTATCATATATGTAACAATCTTATTTGTTTACTTGTCTTTGATGTGTCGTTCTCACCATACTCAAAAACCCTAAATCTATATTATTGAATTTGATTTCTTTTTTTTTTAATAGTTTATTGTCAAGTTGGTTTCCATATAACACCTAGTGATCATCCCCACAAGTGCCCTCCTCCATGCCCATCACCCCCCTTCCCCTCCCCCACCCCCATCAGCCCTGTTTGTTCTCGGCATTCAAGAGTCTCTCATGGTTTGCCTCCCTCTCCCCCACTATTTTTCCCCTTCTTCTCCCCCATGGTCCTCCATTAAGTTCCTCCTAATCCTCCTATACATGCAAACATATGGTATCTGTCCTTCTCTGCCTGACTTATTTCACTCAGCAGAACACCCTCAAGATCCATCCATGTTGCTACACATGGCCAGACTTCATTCTTTCTCTTTGCCATGTAGTATTCCATGGAATAGATAAACCACATCTTCTTGATCCATTCGTCCGTTGATGGACACTTAGGCTCTTTCCATGTTGTGGCTATTGTTGAGAGTGCTGCTATGAACATTGGGGTGCATGTGCCCCTATGCATCAGCCCTCCTGTATGCCTTGGATAAATTCCTAGCAGTGCTTTTGCTGGGTCAGAGGGGAGGTCTATTGTTAATTTTCTGAGGAACCTTCACACTGTTTTCCAGAGGGGCTGCACCAGTTGTCACGCCCACCAACAGTGCAGGAGGGTGCCCGTTTCTCCACATCCTCGCCAGCATCTAGAGTTCTCTGATTTGCTCATTTTAGCCACTCTGACCGGCATGAGGTCGTATCTCAGTGTGGTTTTGATTTGTATTTCCCTGATGAGGAGGGACGCTGAGCATCATTTAATGTGTCTCTTGGCCATCTGGATGTCCTCTTTGGAGAAGTGTCTGTTTGTGTATTCTGCCCATTTCTTCACTGGGTTGTTTGTTTCTTGGGCGTGGAGTTTGGTGAATTCCTTATAGATTTTGGATACTAGCCCTTAATCTGATATGTCATTGGCAACTATCTTTTCCCATTCTGTCGGTTGCCTGTTAGTTTTATGGATTGTTTCCTTTGCGTGCAGAAGCTTTTAATCTTGATGAGGTCCCAGTAGTTCATTTTTGCTCTTGATTCCCTTGCCTTTGGGGATGTGTCAAGTAAGAAATTGCTGCAGTTGAGATCAAGGAGGTTGTCTCCTGCTTTCTCCTCTAGGATTTTGATGGCTTCCTGTCTCACGTTCAGGTCCTTTATCCATTTTGAGTTTATTTTTGTGTATGGTCTGAGAAAGTGGTCTAGTTTCATTCTTCTGCATGTTGCTGTCCAGTTCTCCGAGCACCATCTGTTAAAGAGGTGTCTTTTTTCCATTGGATACTCTCCCATTTTGTCAAAGATTAGTTGCCTGTACATTTGTGGGTCCAGTTCTGAGTTCTCTATTCTATTCCATTGGTCTATGTGTCTGCCACATCAATTTATTTTATTATTATTATTTTTTAATGTTTTATTTATTTCTAATAATAGAGAGAGAGAGACAGCGCGAACAGGGGAGGGTCAGAGAGAGGGAGAGTCACAGACTGAAACAGGCTCCAGGCTCTGAGCTGGCAGTCAGCACAGAGCCCGACGCGGCGCTCGAATCCACAAACCGCGAGATCATGACCTAAGCGAAAGTTGGACGCTTAACCAACTAAGCCACCCAGGCGCCTCTGCCACATCAATTAAAAAAAAAAAAAAAAAATGGAGCGAGCTAAAATACTTTTGTAAAAGAGTCAAGAAAATCGCTCAGAAAACAGCATTAAAAAAAAAACAAATCTTGGTTTGTCATAGAACTTAACTATGTGTGACCTTATGGAAAAGGAATTACTTATAGTTGATTCAGAAATTCTGAAGAGGAAAGGAAACTTATTTTTAATGGAACTTCACTGTGTGTGTGTGTGTGTTTAATGTTTATTTATTTTTGAAAGAGAGAGAGAAAGAGACAGAGCAGAGCGCAAGTAGAAAAGGGTCAAAGGGAGATGGAGACATGGAATCCAAACTAGGTTCCAGGCTCTGAGCTGTTAGCCCAGAGCCCGACATGGGGCTTGAACTCACCAACTGTGAGATCATGACCTGAGTCGAAGTCGGCTGCTTCAGCGTACCAGGAAAGGAAACTTTCTGTCAAATATCTTAGGAAATGAAAATAAACATTATATCAGTTCCTCCCCCAGTTGATTGTTATTGCCAGTTGACTCATACCCTTTTTGTCTTTTAAAGGAAGGTTTTTCTTGTGGCTTCTGGCATTAATCTAGATTCAGCTTGGCTAAAGCAGGACATCTATAGAACAGGCCTGGAGGGCTGTTTGGAAAGGGGGAAATAACTTAATTCAGAACCAAGCATGTTCCAAAATGTTAAAACCTGCTATGTTGTGATCAGGTTTCCACGGTCCCATTATCGTGGTAAGTTGCCCACATTTGCTTGCCAGCGCACGTATCGGGCTTCAGAAGCTTGCCAGCAGTCCCCACACGGAGGCCCGGGCTCAGGGGATGCCAGAGGCTGCATTCTCCACATCTCTAGCACAGACCTGCATTGTCATGTTTGTGGTATTCTTCCATTTTGCTTGAGAAAACAGAAGGACTGCATTTTCCTCCCTTGGCCAGAGTATCCTTCCTTTGCCTCTACTCCCTTCACCTTTATTCTTTTGTCTTTCTTGGCCTTCTGTCCCTTTTTCAGACACACCATTCTTCAGTGTGATTTCATTGCAAGTGAGGAAGACTTTCCCTCAATTCCCGGAGACAAGGATGTGTAGCATTTTTTCTTGTGGAGGTGACTTGCTCATGTTTTTCAGTCTCTGGATTTTGGCCCAAGATAGCATCTTCTTACGGCACACTTCCAACAATCAAATGGCAACCCCCTTACCTCAGTGTCAATTAACAGAAGTTCTGCAGAAACTCAAAACTTTAGAGAGTTGTCTTGGCATCAGCAAACCCAAAATCCAAATCCTCTATAGAGAAATGAAAAGAGCTGATAAGTTGCCGCAGGTGTTTTCCTTTTATCTTGAGAACAGGCTAATGGCACGGTTCCTTTTCCAGTCCCATATAGAAATCATCCGTGGCCACGCTGCATTCACGAATGATCCCAAGCCCACGGTAGAGGTCAATGGGAAAAAGTATACCGCTCCTCACATCCTGATTGCCACAGGCGGTGTGCCCTCTCGTCCTCAGGAGAGCGAGATCCCTGGTGAGTCCTCTGAAGGCAAATGCTTGTTGTTAACAGTCAAGGGGCATTTACTGTTGTCTTCAACCTTATGAGCCATGCCAGGGGATCTGCCTATACCAATTCTTGCTCTTGGACAAGGCCACACGGCTGTGAGAGAAAGTCTCTGTAGAACCTAGATGTAATTGGCATTAGTGGTGTCTTGTGATGGGGCAAAGAAAGATATTTCTTCCAGTTCCAAGCTCATACATACTATAGGTAACACAGGAAGAAAAATCAGCAAAGAGTCTTATCCTTTCCTTCTCCGCATGGCAGAGATTGTCATCTGCCTGAATTTGTCACATGGATTTTATTTACAAGGCACAACTTATAGTTACCTTGTTCAAGGGAGTGAAATCTTGTAGGGATGCAACTTAATTACCTATTAAGCCTTTGTGTGCATAGTTTTCTCACAAAGAGAATTCTAGGATTAAAGCAGTAAGGATTTTCAGATAGTCATATTTGCTCTTGCATTCTATGGACACAGGGATGAGCTATGAACATACTGCCTTATTCTCACATAAGAGATACTGTTCATGTCTTTCTCCTCAACTAGATTATATGGTCTTTCTGGGTGGTGATCATAGCTTATACATATTCTGTATTCTTCCTGGATTGGCTTCAGAACCCTTGTGACCAGCATGAGTTTATATGAGAAAATTTGAGTGTACATGCATTTATGTATTTTGTTCTCTCTGGGGAGAGGAGCCAAAATTTCCCACCAGTTTTTTAAAGGGAGTTCATGACTCCCAAAAGGTCAAGAACAGCTACTGTAAAAGATAGTAACAGTCTTCAGGATTGGTTGTTAAGTGAAAAAAAGCAAGGTGTGGAACAGGATGTATAGTATACTCCCAATTTGTGTCTTTTTGAAAAGGCAGGGAGACTAGACTATATGTGCACTGGAATATCTGTGGAAGGACATTCCAAGCCTGTCATGCTGACTCTCTCTCAGAGTTCTAGAGGTCAGGGGTGGGAAGGACTTTTGTTTTTCACTAGATGCTCTGTTGTGCTTTTTGGATTTTTAAGATACATACATTTATTAATTTAAAACCTGTAGTAAAAACAAATGCAGAGAATAAAAGGTAAATGTTCCAAAGTTCTTTCTTTTTTTAAAAATTTTTTTAATGTTTTATTTATTTCTGAGAGATTGAGAGTGTGAGCAGGGGAGGGTCAGAGAGAGAGGGAGATACAGAATCTGAAACAGGCTCCAGGCCCTGAGCTGTCACCACAGAGCCTGATCCGGGGCTCAAACCCACGACCCGCGAGATCATGACCTGAACCGAAGTCGGACGCTTAACCGACTGAGCCACCCAGGTGCCCCTCTTTTCTTTCTTTCTTTTTTTTTTTTTTAATGTTTATTTCTTTTTGAGACAGAGAGGGAGGGAGAGAGAGCATGAGCAGGGGAGGGGCAGAAAGAGAGGGAGACACAGAATCTGAAGCAGGGTCCACATTCTAAGCTGTTAGCACAGAGCCTGACGCCGGGCTTGAACTCATGAACCATGAGATCATGACCTGCACTGAAGTTGGATGCTTGCTTAACTGACTGAGCTCCCCAAGTTCGTTTCTAGACAGCGAGGCTTGGGTTGTTCACAGGTGGGACAGATTACTAAGGGAAGACATCAACCAAAATGACTTCCTAGGAAGGGGGCTCACACACTGAGTGATATATGCTGAGGAAGATGAAGATCAAAAGAACCAGTGAGTACAGGACATCGGCCAATTCAACCCTTTTTTCCAGCACTGAAGTTCTGAGGGCAAATTCATTAAGCTGAGACTAGAAGAGGGTCAGGGCCAATTGTGGAGACTTAAAGAGTCAAGTGAAGGAATCTATAATTCATGACAACTGGGTCAAATAATTGTTAGCTTTTAAATAGGGTAGTGACAAGATCTAAGTGATAATTTTAGAAAACTAATCTGACAGTGACTTGCAGCGGAGGGCGGTCAGTTTAGGAAGCTGTCACAGAAGAATGTACAGGTGGTGAAGACATGGTTGTGAGGTCCAGCATTAGCATGTGACCCATACAGGAAAAGCTCAGTTCTGCAGACAGTTACTGAGGCTCTGCTCCGTGCCAGCATCAGAGAGAACAGGTGTAACAGACTCCGAGAAGGGAGAGTCAGCTACTGTATTTCACTGATTCCAGGACACAGTAAAAAGCATATTCATCACACCTGAAATCAGGATGTGTCCTTTCATCATGTTGCCTTGAATTTGGCAAAGTGCAGATTTTTTTTTCTTAAATGTTTATCTATTTTTGAGAGAGAGAAAGCTCAGGGGAGGGACAGAGAGAGAGACAGGGTCTGAAGTGTGCTCTTGTGCTGACAGCAGCGGGCCTGACGTGGGGCTCGAACCCATGAATCATGAGATCGTGACCTGAGCTGAAGTCGGATGTTTAACTGACTGAGCTACCCAGGCTGATGAGATATAGTGGGGGAGCCTTGAGAGAAGGAGTCACAGATTGACAACTCAGGACTTCATCTGGATTATTGGTGGAAGGTGGTCCATTTAACTGCAGTGGTGAACTTGAGAGAGGGATACAGTTGGGACATAAAGTTAAGGTTCAGTTCTAAACATACTGAGTTTGAGGCAAAGTAGAGTTACATGGCAGAGCAGTTAGAAATATGGGACTGGAACTTGGGGAGAAGGTCACAACTAGGATATTTGGAAGTCATCTACAGTGAGGGAAGAGTTGGTTGAAACCTTTGAGGGAAAAATGGAGAAGAGGGTCAAGGCCGAGCCAAGGAGCTCCCGCCTACATTGGGGATAGGGGAGTGATGCAGACTGACAGAGTCTATTCATGACAGCCAAGAAGATTCTAGTTCCTCATAGAAATGTTATCGGTAGTTGTTACTGCTCTTTCTTATTTTTAGAGAGAAAACAAAAATGTACACTCAGGGAAGACTGGGCTGGAAAGTTTCCAAGTGGAGACTTTGACAAAACTTGTCGAAACAGAATGTGATGGCTAAGAAAGTATCCGGGTCCTATACAAAATGTTGGTGTTGTTTTACAAGAGAAAGCTCAGTCTGTGTGAACTGTATTGCATTTTCCTAAATAGGTGCCAGCCTAGGAATTACCAGTGATGGATTTTTCCAACTGGAAGAATTGCCTGGGTAAGTTGGTTTCTGTCCCAACCTCAGTGTCCATTCTTCCCCAGTCTCTCCAGCTAACATTTCTTCTTCCTCCCGTTCCCGACCATCAAATGCAGGCATTCCTGAATTGTCTTCTCCTACGTTTCTTTTTATGACTTTGGGTATCTCCTCCACTAATACCCCAGTGAAAGACATGGATCTTTCATTGCAGTTTTTAGGACCAGAATCAAATATAGGGTGGTTTTGAAGATTAAATAGTAAAGTCCTAAAACAGTCTTCTTTCTTCACCTTGATACAGCATCAACTGATCATGTTTCTCAAGGAACTGATTCTGGTTTCCAAAGCAGCTAGTGTAAAGGGAATCTCCATGAATGAAGGCTCTCTCGCTGTCACAGAAAAATAGGTTTTCCGAATTTGTCCTTTCTGTGTGTTTGTCCAAAAAACCTTAGTATCAACCTCTGTCGTGGGTTTAGATACACAGAGAAAAAATATACTGAGGAAAATTGTTTCTCTAATTTGAAGAAGCTTCCAATTGCAGGTTTTCTAGATGGAGGGAGCTTCCTTTCACTCCTTTCACTCCTGATAAGGGCACCTAGGGGCTGGAGGAAGGACCTTTTTGGCCCAGGGACTGGCCTTTGTGCCCTTCTGATTAGCGCTCACTCTGGAATCAGTATTGCTCAATTCTTCTGCACCCTCGGCGGTGCTGCCAGTCCAGTTGAGGTCTTAATCCTGTGTTTTTCTAAAGGCCTTCATGGAGGATGACTAATGATCCAAGTCTGTGCCACTACCTTTCATGACCTGGAGCCACAGATGGTTAATAAGGGGTAGGAGGGCTTCTTTGCAGTTGCATAGCTGCAGTGAAAAAAAACCTCCCATTAAGATAATTCAGATCAGGCCATCTATTGACTCTGAGAAAAGCAGTCTTTTTAGATTTGCTGTCTGCAGGGCATACAGCTGTGTTAGAGAACAGCTTTTCTTTCCTCATGATCCACCCTGTACTGCTTGGTTTTAGGATTGAATGATGACACATGTGAGAATGTTCCCAGAAATGTGCTCATGACTTGTCATGTTTGGATGATATAAGTCAATCTAGATTCACCCTCAGAGAAGCTTCTTTATAGATACCTGTCCGTTAAAATTTTTAAAATAAATGATTTGGGGTGCCTGGGTGGCTCATTTGGTTAAGCATCAGACTCTTGATTTCAGCTCAGTTCAGTATCTCATGATTCATGAGATAGAGCCCCGCCTTGGGTGCTGCCCTGACAGTGTGGGGCCTGCTTGGGATTCTTTATCTGTTCCTCCCCTGCTTGTGTTCTCCCTCTCAAGAATAAATAAACATTAAAAATAAATGCTAGTGGGACACCTGGGTGGCTCAGTCAGTTGAGTGTCCAACTTCAGCTCAGGTCATGATCTAGCCCTGCATTGGGCTCTGAGCTGACAGCTCAGGCCTGGAGGCTCTTTCAAATTCTGTCTCTCTCTCTCTCTCTCTCTCTCTGCCCATCCTCTGCTCATGCTCTGTCTCTCTCTCAAAAATAAATGTTAAAAAAATTTTTTTAAATGCTACCAATACAAATTTAATAAGTGAATTTATACATTTTAGTAACAAAGGACTCTGTGGGGTGCCTGGATGGCTCAGTCGGTTAAGCGTCTGACTTTGGCTCATGATCTCATCTTCAGCTCATGACTTCGGTCATGATCTCACAGTTCGTGGGTTCGAGCCCCGCATCGGGCTCTGTGCTGACAGCTCAGTGCCTGGAACCTGTCAGATTCTGTGTCTCCCTCTCTCTCTGACCCTCCCCTGCTCACGCTGTCTCTCTCTCTCTCAGAAATAAATAAAACATTAAAAAAAATAGAAACAAAGGACTCTGGAAGCAAACTCCTATGGAAACATAAATGGACAATTTTTTTCTTTTAAGGGTCCTTTGTAATTGTTAATTTGGTAAATAAGTAAATAATTGAAGAAAGGACAGATTCTGTAGGTAAGTTACCCTGTGCTATGGGCTGTATGATTCAGTTTTGCATTCATTGGGCTTTTTTTTTTTTTAAGTTTATTTATTTATTTATTTTGAGAGAGGAAGAGAGAGAGAATCTCAAGCAGGCTCTGTGCTATCACCAATGCGGGGCTTGAATCCACGAACTGTGAGATCATAACCTGAGCTGAAATCAAGAGCCAGATGCTTAACCAACTGAACCACCCAAGCACTCCCTCATTGGGCTTATGTTTGGTGGAGGCCGGAGCATCGACTCTGTGGAATGCTGTGGTCCAAGTCATTCTAAGGGCCATAAATGATGAGAAGTGCTCTGAGGACTTGAGGACATAAGATAATTTCTGGGGGATATGTAAGTGGGAAGAGGTGGAAGAGAAGTGCCTCTGGGAGCTGAGAGCAAAACACTGAGTTCACAGTTCTCTGAAAAAGCCAATGTGTTTACAGCTGTTTCTTATATGTCCCCTCTGCTTGGAAATATCCATCGCCCCTGTGGGAGCTGCTTACCTTCCGGAATCCAGAGCATTTTCTGAGCCCTCGACCCTGCATGCACTGACTTGACTCTGCTTTGGCACATGCCAGCACGTGTCTCCCCTTAGGAATTCCCCCAGGGTGGGAGCTGCTACCCACCCCGCCTAGTGCGATGCTTGACCAAAGTAGTTATAACAAATGTTTGGGGAAGAAAGATGGATAAATGAAAGAGGAGGAGGGAAGACTCAAAGAAAGGAGAACAGATCAAGTATCGTAGCAAAAGAGGGAGGTGGCGCTGGAAGAAAAGCTATTTTGTGATTTCCAGGCTACGTAGACATTTCTCTTTTCAGATCCTGGGTTGTGAGATAAACTGACTTGCAACCGTTTGGGTTCACACTTCGTTCTTTGTCTAGACCAGAGCCCTCTGATTTCACAGACTCACTGCATGGATACCTTGCCATTAGAAGGTGGTAAAGAAAGGTTTCCTTTGTTCTTTCCAGATGGCCTACTTTTTAAAAAAAATTTTTAATGTTTATTTTTGTGAGAGAGAAAAACAGCATGAGCAGGAGAGGGGTGGAGAGAGAGGGAGACACAGAATGCGAAACAGGCTCCAGGGTCTGAGCTGTTAGCCCAGAGCCCAACACTGGGCTTGAACTCACCAACCACGAGATCATGACCTGAGCTGAATTTGGATGCTTAACTGACTGAGCCACCCAGGCACCCCCAGGTGGCTTACTTCTTATCCAAGTGTTGTAATGATGCTAGAGGACTGTGCTTAGAGTGTTCGAGAACTCCAGCTTGAATGGGATAGCTCTGGCTAAGGGGCACTGACTTTGTAAGCTACAGCACAGAAGTACCGTTCATTGCTCTAGGGCCAGGATCACCTTCTCCACCACTGATTCAGACCTCCATCTGCATTTATCTAGTGTTTTTAAGATGCCTTCTTAGACTAACATTTATGCAGGGAGTCTAGTTTTAATTCAGATCTGACAACTTAAATGGCTTGCTTTAATTTGTCTTTAACCTAGATTGGTAGAATTAAATAATCATCAAGGAGAAGTTCTGAGCAGGGAAGAATTGTGGTGAGCATGTTGCCAATTTTAGTTTTAGGTGTGAAGGTCATTCATAAGGTATCATCTCTAGTTTCAAAGGTTTTTTTTGTTTGTTTCCTCTCTGAAGAAATGAGGCTAAAGAAATTTTAACAACTAAAAATATATTTCCCTTCTACAAAGGGACATTTTCTTTTTAAAAAGAATTTTTTTTAAATTTATTTCTGAGATTGAGAGAGAGAGAGAGGCAGCGTGAGCAGAGGTGGGTCAGAGAGAGAGGGAGATACAGAATCCGAAGCAGGCTCCAGGCTCTGAGCTGGCAGTCAGCACAGAGCCAGATGCGGGGCTTGAACCCACGAACCGTGAGATCATGACCTGAGCGGAAGTCAGACACTTAACCGACTGAGCCACCCAGGTGCCCCCAAAGGGACATTTTCTACATAAAATTGCAATGTGGTATTCAGGATTGGACCTTGGAGCAGAGAAAGGAAATGAATGGAAAACTGATGAATTCTGAATAAAGCCTGGAGTTTATTCAATAGCAGTGTACCAGTGTGGATTTCTTAGTTTCGACTATTGTTTCATGGTTATGCAAGATGTTAACTTGTAGAAGAAACTGGGTGGAGTGTATACGGGATGTCTCTGTGCTATCTTTTCAACTTTTCTGTAAATCTAAAACTATTCCAAAATAAGTTTATTCACAAATATTACCCCCCACTCTCATTTTAGTCGCAGTGTCATTGTCGGCGCGGGTTACATTGCTGTAGAGATAGCTGGGATTCTTTCCGCTCTGGGATCAAAGACTTCGCTGATGATACGCCATGATAAGGTAAATCCTATCCTTTTCCCTTCCCTTTGCTTGATGTTAATCTTTTAAAAATCCACACTGAAAACGTTCTCTTACGTTGTCATTAAATCCTAGGGTCCAAAGCATGTGGAGGTTGGTTGGTTTGTTCTGTGTGAAACCACATAGAAGCTGTTTGAATTGGGCCTCATGTTCCTACCACCTGCCGGTGGATGATACTGATTTTCATTTGATCAGACTGGCTGGTATTTTTTTCATGAAGTGCTAGATAATATCAGGTGCCTTGGTAAGGAAACATGTAGGCCTAAATATAAATTAGTTAAATTGAACAGACTGTCAGGTTAATTTCTTATTCTAGAAATCAGTTTCACGTGCTCAGGAGGTAGTGTTAGATTATTAACATTCAGTCAAAAAAATTTACGAAATTCTTTGCATTGAAAGAAAACCTACCAAACCTACATGCACAACTATGTTCATGGCAGCATTATTCACAGTAGCCAAGAGGTAGAAGCAACCCAAGTGTCCACTGACAGACAAATGAATAAACAAAATGTATATATCTGTACAATGGAATATTTTTCAGCCTTAAAAGGAAGGGCATTGTGACACATGCTGCAGCATGGGTGAACTTTGAGGACATTATGACAGATAAAATAAGCCAGTCACAAAAGGACATATCTGATATTATTCTACTTATATGAGGTAGGTAGAGTAGTCAAGCTCAGAGAAACAAAAAGTAGAATGGTGGTTGCCAGGGGTGAGGCACAGAAGGAAATGGGGAATTGTCTAATGAGGACAGAGTTTTGTTTCAGGAGAAGAAAAGTTTGGGAGTTGGGTGGTACAGCAGCGTGAAAATACATAACACTACGGAGCTGTATCCATAGAAACGGTGAAGTTGGTAGTTGGTGAATTTACTGTTACATATTTTTTTACCACAATAAGAAGACAATAATGATAGAAGCAACTTATAGATCATCTTATTGAAATGTCATTTATAGATGAAATTAAAGCCAAGTGAGGTTTTGTGACTATTAATTAGCATCATAACTGAGAGTCAACTAAGGTCTTAGAAATCCCAGGCCAGTTGACCCTTGAACAGTTGGGGGTTAGGGGTGCGGACTGTTTGTGTGGTGGAAAATCTGAGTGTAACTTTTGACTCTCTAAAAACTAATAGCTTCCAGTTAACCTTGACATGAAGCCTTACCAATAACATAAACAGTCAGTTAACATATTTCATAAATGTGGTATGTATATATATTTTTAAAATTTTTTTAATTAATTTATTTATTTTTGAGAGAGAGAGAGTGTGAGCGGGGGAGGAGCAGAGAGAGAGAGGGAGACAAAGAATCCAAAGCAGACTCCAGGCTCTGAGCTATCAGCACAGAGCCTGATGTGGGGCTCGAACTCACGAGCCGTGAGATCATGGCTTGAGCCGAAGTCGGACACTCAACCAACTGGGCCACCCAGGCGCACCTATATTTTTTTAATGTATTATTTTTGAGAGAGTGTGCAATCAGGGGAGGTACAGAGAGAGGGTGGGGAAAGAGGATCCAAAGCAGGCTCTGTGCCGAGAACAGCAAGCCCACTGCAGGGTTGGAACTCACGGACTGTGAGATTATGACCTGAGCCAAAGTTGGATGCTCAACTGGCTGAGCCACCTGGCTGATTGCCTGGCTGGCTCAGTGGGTAGAGCATGTGACTCTTGATCTCGGGGTTGTGAGTTCAAGCCCCACACTGGGTGTAGAGCTTACTTGAAAAAAAAAGAAAAAAAATCCTAAGAGAAAATACATTTACAGAATTGTACTGTGAAAAATCTGCGTATAAATGAACCTATGTAGTCCAAACATGTGCTCAAGGGTCAATAGTTTTTTTCTGCTAAAATGTAGCCTCCATGTCTTACCTGGTGAAGTGTTACTTCTGTTTTTTAAAATTAATCATGGAAGTACCACTGGACTTTAGCACAGTATTAGAGCTTTCAGAGTCCTGGTTTGAGGCAATAGCAAGAGTGTTGGCCTAAGAGTATAGCTGGCCTTAACAAGTGTGGGACTTGGGTAAGTCATTTAATGCTTTAAGGACAAGATTTATCGGATCCCTAACCAGTCAGATGCTGTAGTTCTAATTCTTGATTATTTGAGCAAATAGAAGACGACTAGGGAAACTGATAGCCCTGGTCAACATGTACTAGAAGTAACTTTCTTTTTGGCTTTGAGACTTGTTATATAATTAACCCCCAGGAGATTTACATCCTGAATAATAATATTTTCCCCAAGTAGATGTTGTTATTTTGTGTTGCAGGAATATATGCAGCAAATTGGAAGGAAGGAGAGAGGCAGTGGGATGGCTGGTCTGAATTTAATGTATAAATTAGTAAACAAGCTGCAGCAGTTTGTCAGTAGAGTGCATAATTCCTGCATTTGGAAAATAGGCTTATTTGCACCTGGACTTGGCCTTCCTGCCCTCCCCATACTCCAATGCATCAGACTCATTCTCCCTCTTTTCCCTGTCCAGGTATAACTCTGTTTTAGAACTACTCTATGAATAACTCAAAATCTCCCAACTTTTTTTTTTTTAAGTTTATTTATTTTGAGAGAGAGAAAGAGAGAGAGAGAAACAGTGCATGTGCATGTGCACGCGTGAGAGGAAGATAGTGAGGGAGAGAGAGAATCCCAAGCAGGCTCTGCACTGTCAGCACAGAGCCCAACACGGAGTTCAAACTCATGAGCTGCGGGATCATGACGTGAGCCAAAGTCAGATGCTTAACTAAGTGAGCCACCCAGGTGCCCCCAAACCTCCCATTTTTACCCTGCCTGGGGTTTGTTGCATGCTGATTATCACAAAGAAATCTCCAGGCCATGTTCTTGATTCTTTTGTTTAGATAGGAGATTTTGCTAGAGAGATCCTCCCTTAAATCGTATCAGAGCAGAAGCTGCTCTGGCATACTGAAATGGGAAGGAGAATTTTTGATGCTGAGACATAATTACAGAAAAGAGCAAGTCTGGGAGGAGAAGGACATGGCAAAGATAGTAGAAGCCTGAAGGTTGCCTGTTTGACTCTAAATCTGGGGTTGGTGAAATCAGACATAATACAGACACTGGTGGTGATGTAGGAAAATAGATTAAAACTCCACTTAGAATATGGCTGTGAATGAAGAAAGAGATAGGAGGGAGGTTGCTGATACTTGGTTCCCAAGTTTATAACATGTCTCTCTCTCTTTTTTTTTTTTTTAATTTAAATCCAAGTTAGTTAACATATAGTGTAATAATGATTTCAGGAATAGAATTTAGTGATTCATCACTTACATATAACACCCAGTGCTCATCCCAGCAAGTGTCCTTCTTAATGCCCATCGCTCCTTTAGCCCATGCTCCACCCACCTCCCCTCTAGCAACCCTCAGTTTGTTCTCTGTATTTAAGAGTCTCTTTTGGTTTGTCTCCCTCTCTGTTTCTATCTTATTTTTGGTTCCCTTCCCTTACGTTCATCTGTTTTGTTTCTTAAATTCCACATAGGAGTGAGATCATATTTGTCTTTCTCTGCCTTACTTTGCTTAGCATAATATATTCTATTATATAGCCCCATCCATGTTGTTGCACATGGCAAGATTTCATTCTTTTTGATCACTGAGTAATACTCCATTGTATATTTATACACACCACATCTTCTTTATTCATTCATCTGTCGATGGGCGCTTGGGTTCTTTCCATACTTTGGCTATTGTCTATAGTGCGGCTGTAAACATTGGGGTGCATGTGCCCCTTTGAATCATGTAACGTGTCTTTAATCAAGTTTTATTCCTTTCCTACCATTCATCCTTCTGGTGCCTCTGTTTGTATACAGGTACTTAGAACTTTTGATTCAATTATCAGTTCAAACTGCACTGAAGAGCTGGAGAATTCTGGCATAGAGGTGCTGAAGTACTCACAGGTATGGCCAGGCCCCGGTCATGCTTACAGCCCTTGGTCATCTGTGTGTTGTGAATGATGCTTTCTGCTTGCAGCTTCACCTGAGGGTTTTATAAACACAAACTACGCCGGTCAGTGGTTCCCATTCTAAAGTGCTACCAATTCTTATCTTTATCCTAAGAAACTGTATTTCTCAATGTATTAGTGAAGGCAAGGTATAAAAGATTAAAAATCTGGTAGTTGAATTTAGTTAGAACTAAAACTTCATTTTTTAAAAAGTTTTTTTAATGTTTTGATTTATTATTGAGACAGAAACAGAGCACGAGTGGGGGAGGAACAGAGAGAGAGGGAGACACAGAATCCAAAGCAGGCTCCAGGCTCTGAACCCATGAACTGCGAGATCATGACCTGAGCTGAAGTTGGACGCTTAACCGACTGAGCCACCCAGCCGCCCCTGTGGATCTACTTTTATCTGCTTTTAAAACTTTTGAGTTTTGCAGATGGACAGAATTATAAAGTACTCTACTTCTTAGGGAGTCACTAAATTTTAGAATTTTCCTGGAGCATTAGGCTTATAAAAGCAATCTTTCCCCCTAGCTGCCCCCTCTCGGCCATGGCCCTATCAAGTAAAATAATAAGTGTGAACTTGCTTTATGAATGTGAAAGTGCTACACTGGCAGTGGGGTCAGCACCCTGTAGGATCTCTACTAAACTGTGTGCATGCAGCTCTTCTGACCCACTGTCACCCTCTCACCGTTCTGATTAGGAACATGAGGAGGATATCGCTCGTGAGGTGTGAGGAAGTGTGTTAGGGATGCTGCGGAAGCCCGCTCCCGCCCTACACTACTATCACGAATCACTGCTTCTATTTGTGTCTTACATTTTTATCATGATTTTTAAGAGGCATAATTTAAAACACCTTGTTTTTAAATTTTTTTTAAGTATTTACTTTTGAGAGAGGAAGAGTGAGTGCAAGCGGCAGAGGGGGAGAGAGAGTGGGGAACCGAAGATCCCAGACAGGCTCTGTACTGACAGCAAGAGCTGGATGCGGGGCTCAAAACTCAAGAACTGTGAGACCATGACCTGAGCTGAGGTCGGATACTTACCCGACCAAGCCACCCAGGCGCTCCTACAGTACCTTGTTTTTAAGCTGAAGCATTAGGGTGTTGACACGAGGTGACATTTCTGGCCATTGGCCGGATGATTTGGGCCAACCTAGGAAACGTCTTGGCTCCTGGGAGTTGTGGTGTTGGTGGCTTTTGGGCAAAAGTGAATGTGTCAACATGGAGGATCCACATGTAGGATTCAGTGGGGACTTTTTTCTAGTTTCGCCACTTCAGTGGGGAGTTCTAGTTTCCTCTTTGCTTTCCTTCTTCTCTTCCTATCCCCATTAACACATTTTATTTGCCAATAGGTCAAGGAAGTTAAAAAGACTTCCTCAGGCTTGGAGCTCTGCATGGTTACTTCAGTTCCTGGTAGGAAGCCTACCTTGACCACGATTCCAGATGTTGACTGCCTGCTTTGGGCCATCGGGCGGGACCCAAATTCCGGTGGCCTGAATTTAAACAAAGTGGTAAGCTGACTTAGTCTGACCAAAGCTTTCTTGAATCTGTTAGCAGTCCTGTGTTCACCCGATGGACTCCTAAACTTTGGTGGGTTCTGTTAGGTTTGTTTTTCTTTATTTCATGCATCCATTTTGTCATCAAATACCATTGCTTCTTTGAAATTGAAAAAAATATGTATTTCCCCTTTTTAGTGTTGTTACCCTACATCAGGTCTCTGCCACTTCAAATTTAGATTGTGCAGAGTGCCCTGACTAGCCTCTTCCTTACATATTTCCTTTTTACTATGATACTTGTCTCTTTAAAGCCCTGTAATTATCCTTTATTATCTGCAGCTCTAATCTCAATCGCTGAGTGTGTCAGTCATCCTGGACATTGTGGGCATTGGGGGATGGATGTGGATGTGAAGCTGATCTACCAGGGTTATAATTAGCATTCTTAGTTGTTCTTTTTCATTTATTTTTTAAAGCTTGCTTATTTGTTTGAGAGACAGACACAGCGTGAATGGGGAAGGGGCAGAGAGAGAGAGAGAGAGCGAGAGAGAGAAACTACCAAGCAGGCTCTGTGCTGCCAGCACAGAGCTTGACTCGGGGTTCAAATTGCAAACTGTGAGATCATGACCTGACCTCAAACCAAGAATTGGTCGCTTAAGCAACTCAGCCACCCAGGTGCCCCTTTCTTAGTTGTTTTAATTTCTTTTAAATGTTTGTTTTGAGAGAGAGGGAAAGAGAATACCAAGCAGGCATAGCACTGTTAGCACAGAGCCCATTGTGGTGCTCGAGCCCATGAACTGGGAGATCATGACCTGCGCCGAAATCAAGAGTCGGATACTTAACCAGCTGAGCCACCCAGGTGCCCCTGTTCTTTTATATTTTGAAGGAACGTCTACTGTAGTAGCTTGGGGTCTAGGTCCCAGAGTTGGACCCAATTTTGAATCTTAGTTCTGCTACTTACGAGTTAGGTGGTCTTAGGCAAGCAGCTTAATTGCTCTGAAGTTTCAATTGTTTCATGTAAGTACAGGAATAAAAATAGTACTTGTCCCACTGGTTTATAGAGAAGAGTAGATGATGAGAAAGTGCATGCAAAGTAATTAGTTTAGATGCTGGTGTACAGTATGAACTCAGTCCATGTTAACCAGCTGCTTTTGTTATTGATGATGATTTTCCTGATATGCTATAGCATGCTACAAGTAACAATAGGATTGCTTAATGTTTGAGGCTTAGGTATTTGATGGAACCTCTTGAATGGTGTGTAACATTTTGATTTAGGTTCTAATATTAATATCCTTTATCATGTGGATTCCTTTATCATTTCATATAAAGTACTTTTTAGCATTTTCAAAAGTAAACTATCCAAGATGTTTTCCTTGTTTTTAATCTTAATATTTGATGAAATTTAGTAAAACTAGGTGTCAGTTTTTGTATTAACAAAACCAGTCATCCAGGTTTTCACCTTTCAAGAGAGATTTTGTCATTGTACAGATACAGGCAGCGGTAGGTCCAGTTTTCAACTATATTTGCTGAATCTTTAAAAAATGAGATAAAAGTTTTCATCCTCACTCAGTGTTTAGATATATTTATATAATACAAATGGAATTATTACATTGTGTAGGTCTTTCCAACATGTTACTAACCTCCTTTAATCTTGCCAATTCTTTGAGAGGTAAGGACGAAGAAACCAGGAATGACACAGAGCTAATAGTCAGTCTACCAGGCTGTAAACTCCATGGGGTAGGCAGTGATTACTTATCACTATTCACAGCGACCAGGTTAATGCCTCATTTGTACTAGAAGCTCAAGTGTATGTTAATAAATAGGTGGTTATACAAGGTCGCATAGCTAGTAAGTGGCAGAGCTGGGATTTAAATCCAGGTCTCTGTCCTTCTGAAGGGTATGCTCTTAATCACTGTGCTACCTATGTCTGCTGTCTCTTTTCTCACATGCGAGTTTATAGGCCTGGGATCTGTAAAGCTATCTTCTTGGAGCAAAAATTTAACTCAAGATATAGGGGAAACGTTTGGTAAAGAAAACAGCGTTATGTTTTAGAGAGAATGCCAAACTTACTCAGAATTTTTAAATTAAAATGGTAAGCCACGGGGCACCTGGTTGCTCAGGCAGTTAAGAATCCAACTCCTAATTTCAGCTCAGGTCATGATCTCATGGTTAAGGAGTTCTAGCTCCACATTGGGCTCCATGCTGACAGTGTGGAGCCTGCTTGAGATTCATTCTCTCTCTCTCTCTCTGCCTCTCCCCCACTCACGCTGTGTCTGTCTGTCTCAAAATAAATAAGCTTAAAAAAAAAGAATTTGTTTAATAAATAAATTAACATGGTAAGCCTCAAAGAAACCTGCTTTTGATGACTGCTTCAGGCTGTCCCCTCTGAGTTATGAGTTAGTATGCTTCAAGAGGAGCACTTCAGTGGAAAAGAGGGTGTTGTTTTTTTTTTTTAACATTTTTTTACATTTATCTATTTTTGAGAGATAGAGTGAGACAAAGCATGAGCGGGGAGGAGCAGAGAGAGAAGGAGACACAGAATCTGAAGCAGGCTCCAGGCTCTGAACAAGCGTTCAGCACAAAGCCTGACATGGGGCTCAAACCCATGAATGTGAGATCATGACCTGAGCCAAAGTTGGACGCTTAACCGACTGAGCCACCCAGGCGCCCCAGAAAGAGTTTTAAAAGGGTGCCTCTGTCGCTCAGTGGGTTAAGCATGCGACTTCAGCTTAGGTCATGATCCTCACGGGTCGTGGGTTTGAGCCCCGTATGGGGCTCTGTGCTGACAGCTCTGAGTCTGGAACCTGCTTCAGATACTGTGACTCCCAATCTCTCTGCTCCTCCCCTTCTTGCACTCTGTCTCTCTCTCTCTCTCTCAAAAATGAACATTTAAAAAATTATAAAAATAATAAAAGCACTGTCTGTGGTAGACCCTGCAGCTATAGGAAATAGCCCATCTGCTAGCTGGGTGTTTCCTTTTCATGCTTACTGGCCGGTTGAATTGTATTGCAAAGGCAGGTTCTTATTACACACCTCCAAACTGGGTAAAATATTTACATTTTAAATTAAGCAAAAGATCTGAACTTGCCAACTTGTTGAGATGTTTTTCATCTTGTGGTTGAGTGTTGTGGTTTTTAGAGATTCAGGCTGAAGAGGTGCTTGAGGTGAAGTAGATCCAGAGATTGGATCTGCCGTTTGTTTGTAAAGAGGCCAAATATTTACACGGTATCCTTTCAATGTTTTAGGGGATTCAAACTGATGATAAAGGTCACATCATAGTAGATGAATTCCAGAACACCAGTGTAAAAGGTGTCTACGCAGTTGGGGACGTGTGTGGAAAAGCTCTTCTTACTCCAGGTACTGTGTCCTCTTTTCTTGGGTAAGAGAGGCTCTGTGTGTATAAAACTGTTTATATAACAGGCTAGTCAGCCTATGCAAAGTTAAAAGGATGAGGGAGTATCTTTTTTTTAAGTTTATTTTTTATTTTTGAGAGAGAGAGAGTGAGCAGGGGAGGGGCAGAGAGAGGGAGAGAGAATCCCAAGCAAGCTCCACACTCTCAGCACAAGTCCGACACGGGGCTCTAACTCAACGTACTGTGAGATCGTGACCTGAGCTGAAATCCAGAGTCGGACGCTTAACCGACTGAGCCACCCAGGTGCCCCAGAATGGGTGAGTGACTTAATGTTGTCAAAATAATAAGCATGTCCTGAAATAGTTTGGTCCCTTATGTTTTCTGAATAATATTCATTTTTCTTTAAAAGTGCTTAGTGAAGACTGAAATTGTTATAGAGATGATGTGGTCACCCTCTGAAGAATGCTTAAGTTAGGATCTGAGTTGCATGTGGTGACAGTGGAAGGAAGTGGCTTTGGAAAGAAGTAATTTAGAGTGACATTCCTACATGATTATATAGTCTTTCTTTTTAAAAGTTTTTATTTTTACTTATTTATTTTTTTAAGTAGCTTCCATGCCCAACATGGGGCTTGAACCCATGACCCTGTGATTGAGAGTCATTGCTCTACTGACTGAGCTAGCCAGGCACCCTGATTATTTAGTCTCGATATGACCAAAATTGACCCACCTCCCCTGATCCCATACCTCAACCTGCTTTCTGAGTTAACTGGCACAATTTCAAGCTCTTTGTCCCACCTATATAAGCAACATCACTCTGTCTGCTTTCACTCTGTACCCCGTGTACCCCTGTGGTACCTCACCAGCCTTTCCAAAATGGCCGAGACTCTTTCCTCAGAATGGAGACCTATCCTAGTCTCACACCCAAAGCCTTTTAGCCCTTTTAGGGAGTTCCCTTAACAAAAGCAAAATAACAAACAAAGTTTCAAAAACTTGAAAATGTAATCTAATAGTCAAATATTATATCAAAGTGAAGAAAATTTCTTATGTATTCTACTGATACTATATTTTGGGAAAAAACTGTCAATTTGAAATCAACAAAATTAATAACTGATGTTTTTACTGAATGCAGTCATTTTTTTCTAAATATAGAGATAAAAACAGGCTAAGGAGAATAAACTTAAGTCAGAAGCAAAAATCATTATTTTAAAATTTTTTTAGAGAGAGAGAGAGAGAGACCCTGAGACTGAGAGGTAGAGGAAAAAGAGAGAGACTCTCAAGCAAGTTCCATGCTTAGTGTGGGGCTTGATCCCATGACCCTGGGATCATGGATCTGAGCCAAAATGAAGAGTCAGATACTCAACTAGCTGAGCCACCCAGGCACCCTAGAAGTGAGAATAATTTTTAAAATATACTTAAGGGGTACCTGGGTGGCTCAGTTGGTTGACCATCCAACTTCGGCTCAGGTCATGATCTCACAGTTTGTGAGTTTGAGCCCCGTGTCGGGCTCTGTGCTGACAGCTCAGAGCCTGGAGCCTGCTTCAGATTCCGTCTCCTCTCTCTGCCCCTCTCCCACTCACATTCTGTCTCTTTCTCTCTGTCTCAAAATTAAACATTAAAAATTTTTTTAAAATTAAAACACATCCTACTGTGTCAAGTCGGTAACAGTACGACTGAGTATGTAACTGGTGACTGTCTGAACTATGAACACCAGAACCACATAGGACCAGGACTCCCCTTGGTCAGCAAGGGAGAGTGTGGGGTCATTCACCATCCAGAACTGTGGTCTTATGCTTGCAAACCAGAGTTTACCCCAATCCATCAGGACCAGCCAGGGACGAGGAGCCACAATGGTCCTGATAGAGAGGCTGAGGGGCCTTCTAGGGAATTTAAAACAAACAAAAAACCCCATCTTTCTGTGAAATGACTATGATTATAAAGTAAAACTGCAGTTGCTCACAACTGATGTAGTTTGAATCATTCATGCTGTATCAAAGAACTAATATCCTAATTAATTCCATAATTGGGAATCCTAATTAATTCCCAATCCTGCCAGATGATTGGAAACTAGTAAGTGTGTCCCCCCCCCCTTTTTTTGCCTTAATGAATGTATAGAATTCATATAAACTGATAGTTTTGAATTGTTAACTAAGGCATTGATAGGCCTTCATATTGAGCTTGATCTTATCATGAGCATTGGCATAAAACTTTGTCAGAAGTAGTATGTTAAGCCAGACAAATAAATGGTTAGTAGAACGATTCTGCTGTTTTAAAAGGAGCAATAAACTGAAGTGCGGATTTAAAAATATCTTTATAGTTGCCATAGCTGCTGGCCGGAAACTTGCCCATAGACTTTTTGAATGCAAGAAAGACTCCAAACTGGACTATGACAACATCCCCACGGTTGTCTTCAGCCACCCCCCTATTGGGACAGTGGGACTCACAGAAGGTAGGTATTTAAAAATGAAGGCAATTTATAGTTTCCTTCTTCCTCTGAACTTGAAGTTGCTGGCTAAATCTGTCTTCACCCCCTAAGTTACATTCCTTCTTGGTTGGCTTCTTACCTCAGTTCCAGTTTCCTCCCTAACTACTACCTCCTGGAGAATATAATCCCTTTTCTTCAAATCACCCTGTGGATCTCTTTGACATTTTTTTAGCTTATTTATTTTGAACCACCTTCAAATTTAAAGAGAAGTTGCGAAAGTATCATAGTTCCCCTTATCCACGGTTTCAGTTTCCTGGTTTCAGTTTCCCAGGCCAACTGCAGTGTAGACAGAGATGATCCTCCCAATTTATCGTCAGAAGGTCAGGGGTTGCCTAACACGAGGTCTCAATGCCTACATCATCCACTTGACCCATCTCCTTACGGAGGCATTTTATCATCTCTCATCTTCACAAGAGGGATGAGTGTAGTAGGTTAAGGTATTTTGAGAGAGAGCACATTCATACAACTTTTATTACAGTGTATTATGGTTCTATTTTTGTTATCAGTTGTTAATCTACTGTGCATAATGTTAAACTTCATCATGGGGTTTTTTTCCTATTTATAGGAAAAAATAGCATACATAGGGTTTGGTATTATCCACAGTTTCAGGCATCCATTGGGGATCTTGGAACATTTTCTCTGTGGATGATAGGACACCACTGTAGTACAAAGGACTCCTGTATACCCATAACATTTCTGCTTTACCATGTTTTCTCTCTCTGCCCATATACACAGACACACACACACACGCGTGTCAGTATCTATTTCCTAAGAACAAGGCCTTTCCTTTACATAAGCACAGTACAGTTCTCAAATCATAACATTTAAATTGATACAATACTGGGTGGAGGGATAGGCAAAATAGGTAAAGGAGATTAAGAGGTACAGACCTCCAGTTATAAAATAAATAAGTCAAGGAAATGAAAAGCACGGGATAGGGAATATAGTTATTAATATTATAATAACCTTGTGTGGTAACAGATGGTGACTACAGTTAATCATGGTGAGCATTTCCTAATGTTTGTAGTTGTTGAATCAGTATGTTGCACACCTGAAACTAACATAGTATTATACATCAACTATACTTAAGTTTACAAAAAGGTTATTAAAAAAAGAAATAAATTGATACAGTATTATCCAAACTTTAGATCTTATTCACATTTTGCCAGTTATCTCAAATAATGTCATTTTTTTTTCTTTTTTCGATTTTTTTTTAAGTAGTCTCTACACCCAGGGTGGCACTAGAACACACAATCCTGAGGACAAGAGGCCCACACTTCACCAGCTGAGCCAGCCAGGTGCCCCTCAAAAACGTCATTTTTAATGTCCCCCACCCCCAAGGCCAGGATTCAGACCAGGATGATGCACTATATTTGTTTTCATACCAGTTTGGCCTCCTTTAAGCAAGAGACAAAATTCCTTAGCCTTTCTTTGGTCTTTCATGACATTGACATTTATGTTATAGAATGTCTCTTGTTGTAGTTTTGTTCATTATCACCTTGTGATTTGATTCAGGTTATATATTTCTGGACATCTCTCTCTTCAGTAGCTCAGTGGAATTGCTCAGGTTTTTGACAGACGACTTTTTTCTGCCTGTGCATTATAGATGAGGCCATTCATAAATATGGAAAAGAAAATGTGAAGACCTATTCAACCACCTTTACCCCAATGTATCATGCTGTTACCAAAAGGAAAACAAAATGTGTGATGAAAATGGTTTGTGCCACCAAAGAAGAGAAGGTATGGGAAAAATGCAGTAAGTGTAAGAATGTCTTCAAGCCTGGCAGGGATGGGGGGTATTCTGGTGGGGTGGGAAGTGGGGAGATAAAGGAAAGAGTTAAAGCCTTCTTTGATTCAGCTGATGCAATCCCACTTTTATCTGCCTACATATACTGGAGTTCTTTGTAATACTTTATTTAGAAGGAAGGATCTATTGGTTTTTTTTTTTTTTTTTAATGTTTTATTTATTTCTGAGAGAGAGAGACAGCGTGAGCAGGGTAGGGTCAGAGAAAGAGGGAGACACAGAATCTGAAACAGGCTCCAGGCTCTGAGCTAGCTGTCAGCACAGAGCCCAACGCAGGGCTCGAACCCACGAACCGTGAGATCATGAACTGAGCCGAAGTCGGATGCTTAACTGACTGAGCCCCTATTGCTTTTTTTGTTTTTTTAATGTTTATTTATATTTGAGAGAGAGAGAGAATGGGGACTGGGGAGGGGCAGAGACAGAGAGGGAGGGAGACAAAGAATGCGAAGCAGTCTCCATGCTGTCAGTGCATGCTGTCAGTGTAAAGTCTCCATGCTATCAGTGCAAAGTTCGTGAGGCTCGAACCCACGAACTGTGAGATCATGACCTGAGCCGAAGTCAGGCACTCAACTGACTGAGCCACCCAGGTGCCCCAGGATTCACTGCTTTTAAAACATAAGAGGGAAAGGTTGAGCACCACAGAAAACCCACTGTCATTGATTCATAGGCTAGAATAGATAGGTACCTCAGAAATACTGATAAGTGTAAGGTAAATTTATTTTTTCAAAGTTTATTTTTATTTATTTTGAGAAAGATACAGAGAGCAAGCAGGGGAGGGGCAGAGAGAAAAGGAGACAGAATCCCAAGCAGGCTCTTGCTGTCAGCACAGAATCAGATGTGGGGCTCAAACCCACAAACCATGAGATCATGATCTGAACCGAAGTCAAGTGTCAGACATTTAACTGACTGAGTCTACCAGGTGCTCCTATTCTTGATTCATTTTAAAAAAAATATTTTTATGCGTAAATTTTATACATTCTGACTTTGCTAAGAATATTTGCTGGAGGTGAACATTAACATAGGTTTAAAATTATTGAGAAACCAAAGTAGAAAATGCCATATGAAACAAATGTCTCGGGGCACCTGGGTGGCTTAGTCGGTTAAGCGTCCGACTTTCGCTTAGGTCATGATCTCGCGGTTCGTGGGTTCGAGCCCCGCGTCGGGCTCTGTGCTGACTGCCAGCTCAGAGCCTGGAGCCTGTTTCAGAGGCTGTGACTCCCTCTCTCTCTGACCCTCCCCTGCTCATGCTGTCTCTCTCTCTCTCTCTCCTAGAAATAAATTAAAAACATTAAAAAAAAAAAAAGAAAAAAAGAAACAAATGTCTCTTAATGGTCCTTCTGGCAGTCATCCAGTAGGTATGGACTGAGTGCTTTCTGGGGGCCATCTTTGTCCTTGGTCATATGGAGAGGGTGGGAAACAAATGTAGGCAGTTCCCCTCTGTCCAGAGATTAAAATCTGCCGGGAATATGGACTGTAATTTTTCTAGCCCCCAAATACATAGAACATTGTAGTTGTGGTAGAGTCGTGACGGACATGTACACAGAGATCACGTGATAGGTAATGTAACTTGGTCGGGGAGGCACGTGTAGCTATCTGAAGAATGAATGGGCTTTCACTTAAAGGAGGGGAAGAAGAATTGTCCAGACAGAGGGAACAACTTGTGCAATGGAGACGGCATGGTGAATACTCAGGACAAAAGGAAACCTGGTGGGGCCACAGTGAGAACAGCTCGAGGGAGGGCTGTGTGGGATAGGCTGGGGAGGGAGGTTGGAGTAGGACTCGATAGCAGTAGGCAGGCTCTTATGCCTTACCCAGATAAGAGATTCAAGGTTTTTAGAGGTTTTAAAATGTCATGTATTTTTCAGGACTAATAAAAAGTTTATTAGCATCCCTAATAAAAACTTAATGTTAAGAATTTTTCTTTTTTGGGGGCACCTGGATGGCTCATTCAGGTAAGTGTCTGACTTTGGCTCAGGTCATGATCCCGCGGTTCATGAGTTCAGGCCCCATGTCGGGCTCTGTGCTGACAGCTCAGAGCCTGGAGCCCCCTTCAGATTCTGTGTCTCCTTTTCTCTCTGCCCCCCGCAAAAGATAAATAAACGTTTAAAAATTTTTTTTTAACATTTATTTATTTTTGCAAGAGACAGAGCACAAGTGGGGGAAGATCAGCGAGAGAGGGAGACACAGAATCTGAAGCAGGCTCCAGAGCCTGACATGGGGCTTGAACCCACGAACTGTGAGATCATGACCTGAGCCAAAGGCGGACGCTTGACCAGCTGAGTCCCCCACCCCCACCAAATTTTATTTTTTAAAGAAATTTTTATTTTTTTCCCCAGGTGGTTGGGATTCATATGCAAGGAATTGGGTGTGATGAAATGCTGCAGGGCTTTGCTGTTGCAGTGAAAATGGGAGCCACAAAAGCTGACTTTGACAACACGGTGGCCATTCACCCTACGTCTTCAGAAGAACTGGTCACACTTCGTTGAGAACCGGGGACTCGAATGGCTGGCAGCTGGACCAGCAGACCTTCTGAACAATGAACCAAATTATCATGTTTACTTACTGTTCCCATGTTATTTGTTTCTTTATTGTAATCAGGATATTCCAGTAGTGGAAGTTTTCAGTGAATAGTAGAACTTATTTATGTAATTAGAAATTTGTTTTGTCATCCATGCTTTCCATTTGATTTGCATCTCACAATAATCAATATTTTAAATTTTTTTTTATTAACAGCTCTGTGCTAGCTGGGTTTTTGTTTTGTTTTGTTTTTATCTCAGCCTCATCCCAGGTATAAAGTTGTATGAAGTACAGTTAATTAAGGTACTTGAATGAATATAGCTCGCTAATTTTTATAAATGAAGCTGACGGCAGCTCTTCACATTTAGATAATGCAAGTGCCCACGTCATTTTAATGTCTTTTTTTTTTTTTTTTTTTGTAAGTAGGCTTCATGCCCAGCTTGGAGCCCAATGTGGGGCTTGAACTCATGACCCTGAGATCAAGATCTGAGCTGAGATCAACAGTCAGATGCTTAACTGACTGAACCAGCCAGGCGTCCCTTGAGCTTTTTTTCTTTGAAGCCAGTACTGTGCTCTGCACATCACAAAGCTGCTTCAAGGTGTGACCTTTCTGTAAAAGCATATGACATGAGAGACCTGCCTCCCCTATTTTTTTTGTTTAAAAGATTAAAAATTTTGTTCCTTTTATGAGGTGAAGTACCTCAAACTTGGGAAAGATTTACCCAAGGGAGGGACATTTTAGAAGTAATTTCTACTTTCAGGAGAGGAATTCAGATACTTTAGAGTCCCTTCCTCTGCTAAGAGTTCATAGTTCAGCGAATGACTTCAACTTTTTTATGTGTTCATGTAATTTGTTTTCCGAAAACTATTTCCAAAAATCTGAAAATAAAATCACAGCCTTTTCTTCTTATGAAATTTGTTACTATAGGATTTATACGTAACCATTCATTTTCTAAGAACGTTTCACATTGGAGCATTACATGCTAACTGAGCTGCCTTAAGTAAGTTTAAGGCCTTATGGGGGAAAAAAGATTTTTATAGATTAAGAGCAGAGGTATAAAAGAATCATTTAGCAAAGGTAATGGTTGAGTTGGAAGAACAGCCTAGAAATTAGTTAGGTTTTTAGCATTTTCTGTCCATTAGCTTTTACCAACTAGATAAGTTAGTTAAAATTTTCCATGGGTTTCATTAGTGACATAGTGCTAGTGACTTCTTTCATTAAGCTTCTACTGAGTGTCTTTCTAGTTAGCCATGGCTAGGTTGCAGCCCTGAATTATTAAGTAGATCTAATGTCAATAGAAGAAAAATACTACATCAGTAACTAGGTTATGTAACTATTGAGGTAAGAAAATGGGGTCTAAAGACCTCGACGTGGACTGACATAAGCACTCCCCATGCCTTTCCCAACAGCTTAAAGAGTAGTGGGCCAAGGTTCTGGGCTCTGCTGACCTGGTTTGTTTCTTATTCTGCATAGGGCCCAGACTTCGGGTGTTTCTTTGTAAGGAACAGGGGAGACCCGAGTAGTTACACCCATTCTAACACCATGTATTTTTTTTTTTTTTAATTATTTTATTTTAGAGAGAGAGCGGGGGAGAAAGGGAGAGAGAGAGAGAGACAAGCTCCATGCTAAGCGTGGAGCCTGATGTGGAACTTGATCCCATGACCCTGGGAGCATGACCTAAGTCTGAGCCGAGATCAAGAGTCAACTGAACCACCCAGGTGCCCCTAAACACCATGTATTTTAAAAAAATTTTTTAAAAATATGTATTTTGAGAGGGAGAGCGCGTGCACATGAGCTAGAGACGGGCAGAAAGAGCAGGAGAAAGAGGATCCCAAGCAGGCTCCGTGCTGTCATATGCGGGGCTCAAATTCACGAACCACGAGATCTTGACCTGAGCTGAAACCACAAGTTGGATGCTTAACCAACTGAGCCACCCCGGCGTCCCAATCCTATCATGTATTTTATCTTAGGGGTCCTTTGCACTGCTTTCCCCTCCCCCACCCCCCCCACCGGGTCTATAGTAGGTTTAGAAGTTACCTTTTTCAAGTTGCAGTCTTCTTTCTCATCAGTTCCCAGTCTAGAAATCTAGCTCTAGCCTGTGAGTGATCTGGCACCACAGCATCCATTATTCAGAGCACTGGGGGATGTGGAAGATACACAAGACAGCACACTGTATACTATCTGGCACATTGTAGGCACTCGGTAGGTATTTGTTGAAGGAAAGACAGGGTATGGTTGACTCTTGAACAACATGGGTTTGAATTGTGTGGGTCCACTTATAGGTGGATTTTTTACAGTTACAGAACCGTAAATGCATTTTCCTTCTGATTTTCTTAGTAACCTTTTCTCTAGCTTATTGTATTTTTTTAGTGAGCTCTATGCCCAATTTGGGGCTTAAACTCATGACCCCAAGATCAAGAGTTGCAGAGTCACATGCTCTACCAACTGAGCCAGTCAGGTGCCCCTCTTCTAGCTTATTTTATTATAATAATGCATATAGCATACAGAGTAATGTGTTAATTGAATATTTATGTTATCAGGCTTCTGGCCAACCATTGGCTATTAGCAGTTAAGTTTTGGGGAATTAAAAGTTATATAGGTTTTTTTTTTTTTTTTTACTGCATGAGGGCTTAGTGCCCCTAACTCCCACATTGTTCAAGTATCAACTCTACTTGCTTTCAAGTAATCCTGTAGTTTGGAATAAGAGATAAACTTCTACACCAATAACTAATTCAAAGCAGTATGTTAATCACAGTGACCATATAACCTATTGACTAGAATGGGGCACTTTTGTGAGTGAAAGAGGGCACAATTAATTGGGACAATAGGCACTAATTTGTACTGTTGCAGGAGTGCCACCTTAAGCAAGCAGCATTGGAGAGGTGGAAGTATACAAGTTCATAAGAGACAAAAAGTGCCATTTTTGGGGGGAAAACAGGGCTATAAGAAAGATTATGTAGGGTTTGGAATTTGTGATTACGGAGGAGGTCAGAACATGTGGAGGGGTACAGTGAGGCAGACTTGGCAAAGTACATATGAGAAGTGATAAAGTTCAATTTGGAGTATCAGAGCGGATGTTGGTTTTGTGTAAAATAATTTTTGTAGAATATTCTTACCGACTTACATCTTACATACCTGAAGATCTGGTTCTGTATTGTTGCATGATAAACTTCCTGAAAGCTTCCAGGCTTAAAATAGCAACTTTTTTTTTTTAATATTTTTATTTATTTCTAGGAGAGAGAGAGAGAGACAGCGTGAACAGGGGAGGGTCAGAGAGAGAAGGTGATACAGACTCTGAAATAGGCTCCAGGCTCTGAGCTGGCAGTCAGCACAGAGCCCGACGCGGGGCTCGAACCCACGAACCGCGAGATCATGACCTAAGCGAAAGTCGGACGCTTAACCGACTAAGCCACCCAGGCGCCCCGCAACTTTTTTTTTTTAATGTATCACATTTGTGTGGGTCCAGAATTGGAGTAAGACTGCATTTGCAAAGATGACACTTCTGTTGGTGTTGACAAATATCATTTGTTGGTATTCAAATGGTAGATGGGCTGGTCTAGAGAGTCTAAAGCCATCATTCACATCTGGCACTTAGACAAGGATGTCCAATTGGAACGCTGGCCTTAGCTGGGACTGTGAACTTGAGTGCCGACATGTAGTCTTTCCAGCTTAGCAGTCTAAGCGTTAACGGACTTACATGGAAGGTCAGGGCTCTCAGAGATTGTTCCAAGATTCCCAGGCAGATGCTGCAAGCCTTATGATCTAACCACTGAGGTTCTAGAACATAATCTCTGCCACATGCTGTTGGTTAAGCAAATCATTAAGGCCAGCCCAGATTTATGAGGAAGTGAACTGGACTTCACCTCTCAGTGGGAGGAGCGGTAAAGAATTTGTCAACCTACTCAGTTTACAAGGCTTGCCTTAAACCACCTTTGTGAAGACTTCTTTGATAGTTTTATGGATTATATGTTCCCATAACACCTTGTCTCATAATAGGTTTATAGTCACATAGTAGGTTTGTGCTACGTATTCACCTGGTGTATGTCCTTTTACCATCCGTTTTATATTCTCAATGTTGAGTTTCACAGCACTATCCCTGATATATCATGTAGCAACTTAGTTTGTAAGAAGTCAGAGGTATATTATTGTGTGATGTTTTTGAACTAAAGTAGTAGAAAAGGCCAAAATTTTATTCTTTTATTTTTTTGAAAAATTGGTAGGCAGGATGTTCAGGTCTTCAACAAACTTTTCCCTTTCTATGAATCTGACCTGGATGTAGATGAAGAGCTGTTAGAGGTACATATGGAAGATGGTTTCCATTGTGCCTGACTCTGAAATACTCTTATTGCCATTACCTCTGGTACAATATTTTAGCATATTGATTCTTAAATGAAAATCAGAGTCAATGTTTATTTTTTTTAATTTTTTAAAAAATGTTTTATTTATTTCTGAGAGAGAGGGAGCGAGACAGCGTGAGTGGGAGGGTCAGAGAGAGGGAGACACAGAACCCGAAAACAGGCTCCAGGCTCTGAGCTGGCTGTCAGCACAGAGCCCGACATGAGGGTCGAACCTACAAACCATGAGATCATGACACGAGCCGAAGTCAGATGCTTAACCAACTGAGCCACCCAGGCGCCCCTGAGTCAATGTTTTATAAAGGTAAGAATGATTGGGGGGCCTGGGTGGCTCAGTTGGTGTGTCAGTTGGGTGTCCTACTCTTGATTTCATTTCAGGTCATGATCCCAGAGTCATGGGATCGAGCCCCATCCCAGGCTCCGAGCTGAGCATGGAGCCTGCTTGAGATTCTCTTTCCCTCTGCTCCTTTCTCTCCCTCGCATGCACTCTTTTTTCTAAAAGTAAAAGATAAGGGGCCCCTGGGTGGCTCAGTCAAGCAGGTGACTCCTGATTTCTGCATAAGTCATGATCTCATGTTTGGTGAATTCAAGCCGTGCATCCAGTTCATGCTGACAGTGCAGATCCTGCTGAGAATTCTATCTCTCCCCCTTTCTTACCTCTCCCTGCTCCTAGTCTTTCTCTCAAAATAAACTTATGTAAAAATTTAAAAAGTTTTAAAAGATAAATGATTATATACAGTTATTTCTGTATTCTGTGTAGTATAATTTACATGCTATTTAATTTGTTGAGGCAGTGTCAAAAGGTACTGTGTTGGATGCTAGGGCTGGCTTGTTCCTAAACTTTAAAGGTTTTTGTTTGTTTGTTTTTTAATGTTGATTTATTTTGAGATAGAGTATTTATTTTGGGAGAGGGAGAGAGAGAGAATCCAAGCCGACTCCGTGGTGATAGTACAAAGCCCAAAATGGAGCTCGAACTCACAAATCTTGAGATTGTGATCTGAGCCAAAGTCCAATGCTTAATTGACGGAGCCACCCAGGTGCCCCTAGACTTTATAAAGTTTTATAG